TGAGTCTATCAATTAGTATCTTGGATCAGGGACCTCTCCAGTGACAGGGGTTGCTCACTCGACTGACTCAAATAATGAACTGTTACACATATGTATAACTAAATACCTTCTCTACTCTTTCTGGGGGTAGGTGCCATGTTGAAAAAACCTATGTTAGTAGTGCATTTGGCAGTTAATAGGTAATTTTTCTAAGTACAGGCTACAGTAAAATACATTGGATTTCTGACATTTAGGTTGTTTATTACTTGTTTGGTTGTGAGTTGCCCCTAACTAAATGGGATTTAAAGTGACAACTTTTAAAGTGATAAATTTGAGTTATTTAATAGTGTAACTTTTCTTCTCTATTTTTATCTAATAAGATACTATTCAAAATTCCCAGAAGTCAGAGCTATTCATGTACAGAGAGTTAGTACAGAGCTTTGAAGGATTAATAACCGGGACATAGCATCTATGCTAGTGTTCTACAAACAAGATTCAGTAAAAAACAACATGTAAATTTGTAAGGGTCAAATATTCACTAAACTGCAAGATGTTTCTCTCACCAGTGAGAAAGTTTAAGGGGTTTTTACTTAAAATTTTAGTTACTTTTTAGGTAATTCTAAATATATATATATAATTTTTCCATTCTTTGGAGCAGATGAAACATTCTGATCTGCATGCATTGAAATCTGATCCTCCATCAGAGCCACTCACTGCTCTCAGGAGTCTGTTTCTGATGTGCTATCTCAAGGTGACTTCTTCATCCTCTGAATCTATACTAGTTACATACTATTGAGTAATGCATTTCCCTATGACTCAATGGTAGAAGGAAGCAGTAGCTGTTATCTTGCCTTGTTCCAGTGGGCCAGGAATTTTGGACAGTTTTGCAGGCTGTCTCCTAAAGGTAGAGCCAGAATGGCTGTGACCATCTCGGAGCTTACCTTGGGATGAAGATAGCACTTTAAAGGTGAGTCACTCAAGTGACTGTAAAGTCAGTGTTAGCTGTGGGCAGAAGGCCTTGGCTCCTCACCAGATAGGCTGCTTCATTACTGCTTGAAGGTCTCATGACGCAGCTGCTCACTTTCTGTAGGGCTCGTGATGCACAGAGATCACAGATAGCAGATGTGTCTGCTGGATATCTGATGCCATATACTGTCATTTCTGCATTTTCCTCATGTGCATAGATCAACCCCACTCGTTGTGAAAAGGAATGAAACAAGACAAGGATTATGGAAGAACAATTTGAAGGCTGTTTACCACAACCTCTTACTATTTTCTATATCTTTAGATAACTTAGAATATTCAGCTCTTTATGATAAGTATTTGTGTCCTTTTCCTGCCTCTCCACCAGATTAGTATTTCCCTGAGAGTTTGGACTTAGTTTCTTATTTGATATGTCTTGAAATTTCTAGCACATTGTACTCAACATATGCCACCTTCATTGAGAAATTGGAACCACAGTTTCTCTCTCAATGAAAAGGTACATACAGAAAGAATAACAGATGAACAGAGACATTTATTTTGATAAGGAGAGAGACAAAAAGAATGAAAAATGAGGTAGAAAGCAGAGTAAACTTCACATACTACTGAATAAATATGAAAATATTAATGACATTTTTGCAGATACTAGAAATCTAATTTTATCAGGATTTAGATGTTTGAAATACTGTGTAATGATATTCAACTTTATATAATTCTTGTAGATGATTTACCATTTTTGTTTTTACTAAAACTCCTTCAATTATGCTTAATATTCTGTGAACAACCTCTTTGGATTACTTAAAACGTAGAAATTGTTACTTACTACTAACTTCAGTAATTTCAAGGAAGGCATTTATAATTCTTTGTACATATGATTGAGAACTTTATTTAACCTTTAGTTAACTGCTCTATAACCTGGCTCATTGGGACAAAATCATTTGTAGATTGATCAATTAACATTTATATATAATTTGAGCAAAGGGCACAGAGGAATGTCAGGTGGAGCAAAAGACCCATGAGAAATAAGTCCTGTAAAGTCCCCCTCAGAAATGTCACTCCCATCCATCTTTTCCTTTCTACCCTCCGGTCACCACCATATTGTTGTCCAGTTCTTTAGTAACTCACGGCCAAATCGCTAGTATGACCTTCTGGTAGTTCGTGCTACTTTGAGCTTTCCCTCCGAACCTTCCTGAGTTAAACTTACTAAAACTTCATTTCCCTCCCATGCTTTAAAAAATCCTTAATTTGTTGGGCTGTGATAACAAAGTATCAGAAGTTGAGTAGCTGATAAATAACAGAAATTTATTTCTTATAGTTCTAGAAGTTAGGAAATCTCAAACCCAGTGCTAGTAGATTCAGAGTCTGATGAGAGTCTGCTTCCTGCTCTCTGAACAGAGCCTTCTCACAGTAGCCTCTCATGGGGGAAGAAGCAAGGGAAACTTCCAGGGGTCGCTTTAATAAAAGCACTAATTCAATTTGTAAGTCCTCTACTCTCATGACCTAATCCTCCCTCAAAATCTACCTCCTACTACTGTGATGACTTTGGTTGTAAAAATGTCAGCATATGAATTTGGAGAGGACACAAACATTCAGACCACAGCAGAAACCTTCAGTTGCTCTCACAATCTAGAGTCATTCCACTCCTCAACCAGAATCCGGCACTGTCCCCAAATCTTTTCCTCCCTTCTGTGTCTCTGTTCCTGATGTATCCTTTCTATCACCCAGCTTGAGTCTGTATTTCAAGAATTCTTCTCCATGTCTCTGTTCTCCCTCTACCCAGAAACCACTTTTACTTTTAGTGCTCCGGTGTTAATTGACCACCTTCCTTTAAATCCAGTTGAGATTCCCTAATGGAGTCATTCTGATTCATAAATTCCCCATTTTCCTACTTCCGTGCCATCAGATTTTGATGGCTGAATATCTTTCCTTATAGCCATATCTTTAAGTCTGACTGTAGCTGACTACTATAATTTTATGCATTTATGTTTGCTTCCTCTACAGGATTGCCTCTTAGCTTTCTTTTAGTCTTGTTCGATATGTGAATATTTTTACAGATGTTCCAATATTTTCTCCAGAATTTCCATGTGTTGAGACTAGATTAGATGCCTATATGACTTATTCTGCCACTGTGTCAAAGTAAAATAGAGAATAATTCCCACATAGCTTATGTATGAAAGCAGAAGATAAAATATAGCAACTATATCAAGTGACAGAGTGAATAAAACAGGTGTGTGCATATGCGTTTGGGGGATGACAGGTAAGAAATAGGAAAATGTTATGTTTTATTGTCTTCAAAGGAAAGTTGTTAAAAGAGAAAAGGTTGAAAGTTCAGAGCAGTTGATATCTACTTAATTATGGCCCTGGACATAGGAATGAAGCTATAAAAGGAATTTAGTAGGTTCAGAGAAGGGACACACATAAGCACATTTAGGGACTTTTAGAATGAGTTTAACAATTATAGATAAATGTGTGTGTTAACATTCCACAGGATATTTTTTTTCCATAAATGAATGGAATAAAAATTTTTGCAAACCCTTTAGTTGCTAAGAAACTGTCTTCTATAATGTTAATATTTATTATTAATTCTGCTAGTTAAAGGACTTTTGAGGAGCTCTGATGCTACTAAGAATTGGGTATAAATTAGCATGTTTATTTTGTATGTTCTTATCATTACATAGGGAATAGACTTATCTAAATTGACTCTAATAATGCTCTTGCTATTAAGATTGCCTTTGGGCTGATCTCAAATTAATATATTCAATTTTTTCATTTTGACATAAACATGCACTTTACTTGCCAGCAAAACCACTTGATTTTTTAGTAGATTTGTTTTCCTATAAAGCATTTCAAGGGAATTCAAAAATTTGTATAAAAGATCGATTAGTGATACTCTAAACATAATTTGAGAAATTGATTATTTGAATGGAATGGAGATGGAAGAATAGATAGAATCTTACATAGAAAAATCATTGTTGGATGATTTTTATTTCTATACCTACTTTTCTATTTGTCTGCAAAATATGACTGACTGTTGAACATGCCTACTTTGGTGAAATCATAAATTTTCTTTTAACTTTGAGGAAGTTCATATTTTATATAACATTACAATTAAATTCAAGAGACATTTATTTAAAATCTTACAAATCCTAGTAGTATGGAAATACCAACATAGGCACAGTATCTACTTTTAAGGAGATCATAGTCTATAGGAGGGAAGAAGTTCATCATTATTATGATGCAATAACAGGTCAGTAGAAACAGATAAAATACATGGGGTAAATTAGTTGGTTAACTGATAATTACAAAGCAAGGAACACTTCTGGAAAATGATTATACTTCAGCAAATTTGAAAAACTGATTGATCAGTATATTGACATAAAATTATGAATTAGGATCATCAGCCTTTCTCCGTAGTTCATGGAATGCCTCCAGTGTTTAAGTGCAGTTTTGTTAACTGTTATGACTTATGTCTAGATGTCCTATCAAAGCCTCATGTAGTCACAGGTGGAGCTTTTCAGAGGTGGCTGGACCTAGAGTGTGTGATGCTGGGATCACAGGTGTGTGACTGCTAAATTAGTCCACTGACTGGTTTGGCATGGTTCTGGAAGTGGATAATGGAAAAACACTACCTGGGTGTGAGTGCTCTAATGGTGGGTATCCTGGATAGAATACAGTGGACAGAAAGAGCTGCTGTGGTCACTTGCTGCTTTCTGCCTTTATCTTGCTTCTTGTTCCTTTTTCTGCCTTTCGCCTGCCATGAACTGCCATGTCACCCTACGCTGGAGACATTGAAGCCTACAAAAACTATGAGCTGAAATAAACCTTTCCTTCTTTGACTTTGAGTGCCAGGATTTTGTCTCAACAAGGAGAAAAGTGCCTAAAACAGAACCTGTGAGCTCAGGATTCAGCAGCCCACACTTTTGCATACAATGCTCTGAGCCACTATGTACTCTAACCATTACTACAGAAATCATTAAAAGAACACCTTGTTTTTCCACCTATAGAGACCCTATTGGAAATGTCTTTCTTTATCTCTGCAGAAGCCCTGTCCTGGTTTTCCAGTGTAACCATCGTCACGTGATTTGCTTAGACTGTTTCCACTTGTACTGTGTGACCAGACTCAATGATCGGCAGTTTGTTCATGACCCTGAGCTTGGCTACTCCTTGCCGTGTGTGGGTAAGTCTAGCGTTTTATTGTTTTCTGTTTCTAATGCTAATTAAGAACAGAGGAAGAACCTCTGCAGTAAAACTATCTTAGATATATCTAATTCCTGGCCCAGGGGTTGGAAACTTAAATTTGGTCATTGCTGAATAAGAAACATTCACGGTTGAGCCACAAGAGATACAAAATATCACTGTTCAACTAGAAAATGTGTAACTTATATTAAATCCTTGAAAATAATTTGGAACTATAACTCAGCTAAGGTACAAAATATGCTATGGATAGACTGACCAAACAAGTTCTGCGTTAGTTACCTGGATATGGAGCAATCGCATCCAAATTTTATATAGTGCCCTCCAGCACTACAAGTGTGGAGCACATACTCAGTATGTATGAAAGAACATTTTAAAAAAAGAAATTAAAGAAGAATGCATTAGGGCTTGGGATTTAGCTCAGCAGTGTAAGTATCTGCCTGGCAAGTACTTAAAAAAATTAAATCTGAATTATTAATACTTTTTGTTATTTAATATTATAATATTATAAAACCTTTTAACTTTTACTAAACTATTATTACAAATATTTTTTTAATTGAAGTGAAACTAGTATTACATACAATTAACCATTTACTATGAATGATTTTATGGTATTTGGTACAATCACAATTTGGTACTGTTACCTCTCTCTTGCTTCAAAATGTCCTCTTTCTTTCAGAACAGTTCATACTCATAAATCAATAATTCCCTTTTGCCCTTGCCCCAGTCGCAGTCTATTACTAATTTGCTTTCTGTGTCTATAATTTGGCCTACCATGAATATTTTCTAAAAAATAGAATCAGACAGCATGTGGCCTTCATGTGCCTTCTTTTACTCAGCATAATTTTTGTTTTGGGCTTCAGCCATGTTGTGGCTTGTGTTGATACTTTACTCCTTTTTATGGCTAATTAACATTCCATTATAAGGCTTCACCATAACTGTTTATTCATTGATCTGTTGATTGGAATTTCTGTTATCCCCACCTTTTGGTTATTATAAATAGTGTTACTGTGAACATTTATGTACAAGTGTCTGGGTAGACATATGTCTTCATTTCTCGAGAAGCAGACTTCTATATTTAATCTTTTGCAACACTGACAATTTGTTCACAGCTGCCACACCATTTTATATGCCACTACCAGCATATGAGCTTCCTATTGCTCCATCCTTGCCAACACTTGCTATTGTCTTAACTATTAATTCTGGGAAAATGTGAAGTAATATTATACAGGGGATTTGATTTTCATTTCTTTGGTGACTGGCAATGTTGAGTATCTTCTGGTGTGTATATCTGCCATTTGTAATCATTGTAGGAATACGCACTCAAGAGCTTTCCTTATTATTAAACAGGGTGGTTTGTCTTCTTGTTATTGAATTGTGAGAGTCTTGGCATATTCTGGATACTGGATCCTTATCAGATTTAAGATTTACAAGTATTTCTCCTATTCTATAGGTTGTCTTTTCACTAGTCTAACAATGTTCTTAGATTTTAAAAAAGTAGTTGTGAATTGGGATGAAGCTAAATTTATTTTTTTTAATTATTTTGATGTGAAGTATAATTATCTCTTGCCATAAACAAAATTATGGTGATTTATTCCATGTTTGCTTATAATAGCTTACATTTCATATTATGTCATTGATGCACGTTGAGTTAAATCTTGTATTGAATATAGCAAGAGTCCCTGCCCCACTGCACATATACTTTAATGACTTTGATGTGACTAAGTATGCTTTACTGACTTTGAAAATTCTAGTTTGTAACTATGTTCTATCTTCATTCAATGGTCAAGTTAAGTTCAATTTCTTTCAATACTCAGTTTTAATTTCAACAATAACTAAAAAAAGGTCAAAATAACAGATCCAAATAGAACAAGATAGAAGAAGCTTTTTATTGTGATTCACATAATATATGTGTCACTATATCAAGGAAAACTAGTTGTAAGGTATTATACTTTTATATTTTTGACAAAAGCTTGCAAAATCCAGAGAAACCATTATTTGCAGAATGGAATACTCTTCTACTCTTTTTAACGAGGTAATTTGCATTGGTATATTACTTGCTTTACTAAGGCATATACTATGGAAACATGTCTAATTATTCATTTTTAAGTTTTCTCTTCATATTCAAGACACATTTTAATGAACAGTTTCAGTTTTCACTCATTTTTGAATATTGGCCTTTTTATTATAGAAAAATTTCACACATAAAAATATAAAGGAAAAAATACCACAATAAACACTATAAGGCCCACTAGCTAGGATTTGTAACAACAACATTTGTAGTTTTTCTTCTGATTCTTGTCCAATGACATGGGACCAACCCTGTCTCAGAAGTTCTAATTTCCATCATAACAGCCCTCCAAAGCCATTGTGTGCTCATCATTCCCTGATTGGTCTCTGTTTCTAGCTAAGTTGGAAAAACTATAGACATATTTTTTAATGTAAACTACAATATTAATTATACTGCATGTATATTTTTTAGTTCAAATTAAGTTTATAGAATTTTCATTTAAAACGGTACTGTTATTGCTTTCTCCCTTGGTAAAATGTCTTATTATTGAGTGATATCAACAGAGTTAGTCATCTACATTTTTCTTGCCCTCACTTTTTTCTCTCTGAAGTATATATTGTGTTCTAGACATCACTTCTTAATAGTATGTAAATATTTTCTCCATTTAAAAAATACATATTTTCATTTTGTCAGAGTATCAGTGAGGTAGATTCCCTGTAGGAGATGGTACTGTACAAAAAGGAAAATGTGTATTTATTTTACTGCTTCCAAATTCTTTTTGCAATAGCTGTGAGTTTCCATTTCCATCTGCAAGGCTGAGACCATCAGCCATTCCACCTACTTACCAGTGGAGGAGCTGGAAAAAATTTTTTCTAGTCATATGAGATATGGAACTTTTATGTTGTCTGTTATTTTTTATTTTAAAGAAAACTGAGCCCTTTTAAAGTATGTTTTTAGATCCTTTTGGTTTTTTCCCTACTGTTTTAAAAGTATCATCTTTTCTTCAAGGACAGGTTAGTTAATACATTTTTCACAAAGACATCATCTACATACACAACACTTACAGGCCGGTTTAGTCACAGAAGAGGTTAGCAAATTTAGATCACTTTGATTTTTTACAAAGAATCTGTGTAAATTGGCTTTAGTTTTGCTGGCTCTTTGCTGTGAGATAACAACTTCCTGTGAGAAAAGTTTTGTATCCTCAAGCTCTACATCGTTACAATGCATGCTGTAGAATCAGGTATTATCTAGCATGATATAAATACCTTTTGAAAATTAATTTATTTTATTTTTAATTTAGTCAATGACATCCTTAGACTCTTAAGACCTCACAGCTCAAGCTCTTTGTATTAATAGTGGGTGAGGCAAGGAATGAATAAATTTCAAATATGCTACTTTATAATTTTTCTTCTGTGTTTTCAAAATAATTTAATGATTATTGCTACCTCATTACTATTTACTTAAACACAATATTCATACATTTGCCTATATTTTAAAAATGTTTCTTACCTTTGAAAACTTAAAAGCCACATACTTTATTTTGCTATTAAAAACATAAAACAAATAACTAAAAATTGAGGCAATTTAGAAACACTTGTACCTTCATTCATAGTGTAATTATACCTTCTGCATAGTATAATTTACTCTAATATTTGTTTCTTCATATTTTTGACCTATTTTATTAGTGTCTAATCTAAGAAAATATAGTTCCATCTGTCATGGTGTCACAGTATTGTTTATCATGAATTATATTAAATTTTAAAAAATTCACTCTGGCTCCAATTGTAAATGCTTCTCTGTATTATGTGAAAAGAAACTTCCAAATATTAGGGACTGTGTGTGTGTGTGTGTGTGTGTGTGTGTGTGTGTGTGTAAAAATTAACTGAATTGCCCTTAATATTTGCTTAACAGAGACTCTATTCCTTGCTTGCAACGTAGCTGTGTTCTAAGCATAATAGTTCTGTGTATTACTTAACTGTGCCTCAGACCGATGACACAGTCCAACCAGGGTCACTCCTCAGGGATGATGGTTCCCACACCTCAGATTTGTTGTTCTCTCTTTCTGCTTATGCCAACAGTATTGATTCTATCTTCAAGTAATGGGTTTTTTTTTTTTTTCACGATGATTCTCAAGTCATTAATTTGCTTTAAATTGCTTAGTTTAAATGAGATAATTTATTCTCAATTCTTTTAGTCAAGGAAGGTTGTCTATTGAAGGTAATAGACAGGAGATGGCTCAGTCTCCTGCTATTCCCTGGTCTGTTACACATGCACAGTGAACACACAGACTAGGGCAGGAGAAGGTCTCAGTATCAGTCTGTGTATTGTCTTCATCAAGATTATTTTTCTATTTTAAATAAAAACTTTATATAAGTCTAAATATTATCCCCTAAGCCAATAAGTCATTTTGCACATATCCTAGTGTGTACACAGAGCTGCAGAGAAATCTAGTTCAAATCTTTACCCTGAATCCCAGTAGCTTTGTAATACTGGGCAAAGAGCTTTACACTTGTTGTGCCTTGGTTTCATTTTATGTGAAGATAATATAGTAGTATCTGTTTTGGAAATTAATATGTGACTGCATTGAAATAATACCTTATAAAATGCCAAGTGGGTTAAATGCTCAAAATGGTAATGTTAAGTATTATTTAAACATATATGTATTTTTCTAAAAAAGTATTTTTAATTTTATGTACATATATCTATGTGTGTATGTTCATAGAGGAACTTACATTCTGTAACTTGTTTGGTGTGTCCTACAATCCAATATATAAATCAACCAATTGTCAAGCATTATTCACTTATACATCTATCTGAATATCTTAGTTTGACAAACTTTGCCTTGATATATCAAACACAGAACAATACATATATAATAAAATGATAATAAAACAAATAGAAAAACAAAACTTGTAAAAATATAACTCAAAACAGTACACTATCAGAAACAAGAATTGATTGAACACATATTA